AAAAAAAAAAAAAAAAAAAAAAAAAAAAAAAAAAAGCATTTAAAAAACAAAGAAGATGGTAGTATTCTGTTTATAGCTTGTACAGAACTTGTATAGGACCAAATATAGAGCTGTTCAACCTGAATATTTTACTTCCTGTACCTTGTAATTGCTAGACATCGAAACACACAAAAAAAGATTAAATCCTATTCAGAATGTACTTAAGATTGTAAGAACAGACTTAAAAAAGACCAGAATAACTTCTAATTCTACTTCTTATAATTTATAGTTTATAATACCGATTAAAAGCTATTTTTACAAGACTATTCAATGAATAACTGTAAAAAGTCTTAGAGACTTCTGACTAATCACACACAAAAACACGTATTTGCAATGTACAAAGATCTTAAAGCACATAAAAAAACTGCTAACTTAAGTTACAATGTGAATAGAAATGTGAAGAGTAATTTCACTTTTTATTCTGGAGATTTAAGTATTTTTTTACTATGATGCAAAAAGGATTAAAGGTGACTAATAAAAACAATTTGGAAGCTTAGAGGCACTAAAATTATCCAAAAAATTTATAAACATGAGAATACATTTTTCTTTAACTAAGGGAAGCCAAAAAAGTGAAAAGCATGAGGATGCGGAGGATGTCAGAGGCAGAGGTGGGAATATGGAGACTGGATAATACCACCGTGCGCAGTCCCAAAGCTGTCTAATGTTGTTTTAAAGAAAGGGAGTCTTATCTACTTCAGAGGCTAACATCTTACCCTATTTTATTCAGACACTAACACATCCTTTAAATAGGTTAAGCATGTTACTTATTTAAAAAAGACAGACCTCATTCGTTTTAGCCCCCCTACCCCGCACACACAATTAAAGCTTTCAACCACAATGTAAGCAAGCTACTACCACCCCAATTACCACCTCACCAAATTAAAGTGGTATTTTCCCAATTTCAGTTTTCATGTAGTTCTCTAATTTTTACCCTTTTCCTACCTAATTTCACTTACATAATCAGTCTTATAATCACAGCTTTAAGGTTCTCTCCTTTCTCTTCAAACATCTGTACTTTGCAAAAATGATTACATTTTAAAATTAAGCTGCAAAATTTAGAAAAAAGGAACAGCAGTAGCAATGTAAATGGCTAAGCTTACCATTGTGTGAAGCCTCCCGTGACCAAAGCAATTCTGTTCTACAGAATGTATTTTTTGCTAACCCAGAATAAAGTATCTGAGAGTTAACCAAATTGAATGTCAATTACAGGAAAGGAGACATTCCTAGAAATCCTTTGTAAAAATCATTATAAAATCCCAACTTACAGTTTCTGCTCATATAGTCTAACTCAGGCACAAACACAAGTCCAAGCCACCAGAAAAAAAGGTGATCTCAAGTCTTAACACCAAAGGAAGTAGCACATGCAATGCAATAAATAGCTCATCAGCCAGTAACACCCTGTGTTATCCTGAAACAATAGCCAGGTATCACCTTCCTATTGGAAGTATTCATTCTTCCCCTCCGGACCATGACAGAAAGGTATTTTTCTTGTCTAGCAACACAGAAGACCTTCCATTGGAATCCTAATACATGTTGGCTTACAAGAGGATAAAAAGAAAAGATAAACCCAGCTTAGGCACTACTCTAGGTAGGATTTAAAAACTAAAAAACCAGCCCCTATAAGCTGTTTTTAAAGTGTTTTTGCTGAGAATATCAGGATTCACAAATCCTTTGGTTCTGCTCATGTTAAAAAATGTTCAGCTATGGGCATCTTTATCAGGACACATTTAGAGAAGGGAATCGCTTTTCGAGAGGAAAAACTGTAGTATACAACACAACTGGAGAAACTAATTTAGAACTTTATTCTTTACTAAATGGTTCTACAATAAAAGAGTTATTACCCAACAGATTCTAAACCTAAAATTTGACATTGAAATTATGGGGCAAAGATAAGAAAAGCACTGAGATAAAGCTCAAGAGCCCTGACGACTTCTAATCAAATTTGCCACCAACTATGGAACTTTATTCTGTATGACAAGTCAAGAGTAATGAAGAGAGAGAATTAGATAATTCTAAAATGAAGCCAAGATCTATATATTAAATTTGATTTAATTCACAGTCCAAATCTCACAAGGGCAAGTAAATTGTGCAAGGCAGGCACTTTGTGAGCAGAAGAAACAATCACTGAGTATCTAACAAAGATGGGAGGGGTCAGACTATAAAACAGCACATATGTATATACATAAGGGTATACACATGCATATCCCATACACATACAGAAAATGAAAATTAGGCATAAAAACGAGCCAAGTGTATGGCTTGAATTATCAAGAAAATATAATTTTATTGAACTCAGTCTTTATTTCTACTCTTAATAGTTTCATCACATCAGGTCAGTAAGGCAGAGCACTAAGGAGTAAGCAGTCTCAAAAGAAGGTCAATGTGCAATCTGAAAAAGGTGTACAAGTTTAAAGAGAGAAAAAAGACCAAAAGTTAATCTATATATACTACTCCCCTAAAAATCTTAATCTTATATACATATATATATGAATATTCAAAAGATGAATCAAATTTATGAATTCTAAAACTCTCAATTCCACAACTAACACTATGTTGATTGTATACAGTTAAAACAAAATTCTTTCCTTGTAAATATTTTGGAGAAAAGTAGACAAGAACTTGCCCAATTGTATGTGGGCTCTCCTGTACATTTCCCCTCTTAATGTTAAGATCCACTCAATATCTATTCCACTCCCATCATTAAAGGTGCAGACATTTTAAAATAAGTCTCTACTATGTACATTAAAAATGCAATGGGCTGGGTGTAACGCATCCTTATAATCCCAGCACTCAGGAGGCTGAGACAGCAGGATCATTACGAGTTCAAGGTTAGTTTGAGCTACACAGTGAGTTCAAAGGCCAGTCTGAACTACATAGATAGACCCTACCTCAAAAAAACAAAAAAAAAATTCAATTCCTACATGAACAGGTATAATCTATTAATTAGAATCCATTACTTCAGACCACCTGTGTTCCATATACTAGAGATACAATGAACAGAAAACAGACATGGTCCTTTTCCCCTCATGGAAACTACTCAGCCTAGTGGGAAACACAGACATTAAACAAATAAAGAAGTGAGCAAAATGACAAAACAAACACACCCTATCCATACAGAAACATACACATCCAACACATGTAAAATCCTACACAGATAAACAGAAGGAAGCAAGCCTGGAAGGAAAAAAAAAAACTATCATGAAAGAAGGAAGGAATGGCTAAACTAAGAGGTCTGAAGGCCAGCAGGTAAGAAGACTTCCAAGCAGAGGCACAGAATGGCATATACCAACATGTGATGGCAGGACAGCTTAGTTTGGTGGAGAAAGTGAAAGGCCAACATAGTTAAGGATAGTTTAAACATCACTGTAATACAAACCTCAATTTCACGAAGTTTTGCTCGTTTTTCCTCACTCATTTCTGAATACTTAGAGAACTTGGACTCAGTCATTTCTTCTTTAATTGGATTAGAGTATAAATGATGTTCTTCAGATTTAGAACTTTGAGTATCTTCTTCATCTTCACTTTCTTCTTCTTGACTTTGGAAATAAGCAGAATATGTTGTACACAAGTCAGCAAAACAAAATGTTACATTTTATAGTCTGGGCATTTTTATTGGTATTGCCTTAAAGTTTAAATAATGTTTAGCAGAACAACTAAGGACTATATCCTTAAAACATGTTTTGCAAAACATCTGATGAAATAAAGATCATTTTTGTAAAATTCTTGTTTCCTACACAGAAAAAGCTTGAGCTTCAACATAAATCATATGTTTTACAAAAGACTTTGTTAATGTCACGTGTCTTATTCTGCAATAAATCTGTGCAGTAGTTATGTGAAACAAATAAGTTGCATATACTTCAGTTTAGAATGATTTCATGAAGTTTTATGCTTAAAAAGTGTTTACCCTTCCTTCAGCAGAGCCTATAACCTAGAAAGTAAATGAGTTGGAAATCACAGAATTACCACGAAAAAATGAAGCATAATAAAAACCTCATGATTAGCACATAGCCCCAATAAATTAAATTTTTAAATATCGGTTAACAACAGTACTCAAATTTAATTCTGAAAGTGATATTGGTTTTAAGTCAGATAAGAAAAAAAACCTGAATGACCACCATGAGTAAGTCACAGACAATACAAAGAGGAAAAATTCTTCTGTCCATGGGCTGGGGATTTAGCTAAGTGGCACTGCGCCTGCCTTGCAAGCACCAAGGTCAAGTTCCATCCCTGGTACCACACAAAACAAACAAACAAACAAACAAACAAAAATTTCTGTCCTTCCAGGAGCATTCTGGTGGGAATAGACAGGCAAGGCAACTATGGATGAAGCTGGTCATGGTGCTAGACAGGATTAATAAAATGTTCTTAAAACACAAAGAATGCATGGCTTAAAAAAAATTTAAGCAGGGTTTTTCAATATATGTGAGCTATATGCAAATAAATCTGGGTAAAGCAAGACACTCATATATAAACATTCCCTACATATACTACTGACTTGATAATTTACATTAATGACATAGCCTGGAACATATGCCATTGTGCCTCATATCTGAATTTGGTAAGCCCTCAGCTGTTTTGATATTTGGGTACTTAAATACATTGTTCAGTAAGAAAGGAGTCTTTTTAGGATCCATTTTAAGTTATTCATAATAATATAGTTATAACCAAATTTTTTTGAAACAAAAATTTAATTATTTCAAGGTTTTACTAGGTTCACATGCCAGACAGATAAAAAATGTTGGGAATTCAGAATCAGTAAAGATAAAATACTAAGACTACAATATGAGCTTTTTAGTATCCTCTTCAAAGGCTTCTAAAATGTATGAATTTCATACTCAAAGCCCTAATACCATATACAGGTACAACTTAACAGATTTCAACACTTAGCTAAGGAAAAAAAACCTCAAATTTATTTTTTAAAATTTGTCTTTGGAAATAATCAAACGTTTTACTAATTTGTCATAAACTTCCTCAGTGCAGTTTTTAGTTAACTTCTGAAAACACAAAAAGTCCTCTTTACAAGCATTTACAAACCATTTTGCAAGTGTTTAAAATGCTTTAAGTGGTTAAAATAGGTGTATAAGCAGAAATGTTTGCTGAAAAATTACTCAAAAAGGGTCAATCTAGAGGAAGTGGCTTGGCTAATGAAACTGCAGCATCTATGCACTGGAAATTACTTGACTAACTGCAGTCTTTTACCTTTTTTTTTCTTTCAATTTCAAGTATTGTTTGGCATATATCCTTGTACATTTATCTGAAAGTTTGCTTTTAGTCATAAATGAATACTGAACAGGTAAATATATGGGTTACATGGAATAATCTCCACAACACTTGTGCAGAATCATAGGTTACAGAACAGTACATGTAGTATGCTATCATTTATATTCCTATAGATTAGCAAAGATCTAGCTCACTGGCAATAAACATTCACCATATATTCAATATTTTCAAAATGAGCTATACTACTTTGACAATCTTAACTATGTGCATGTTTTAAAACTGCGATCATAGTAATTTTTCAAGGCCTGAGCAATTTTACTTGATTTTGGCTTTAGTTCTAGGATCAGATTTTATCATAGCTTTCTGATTTACTTTTAAAAAATGGAAATTCAAACTTACGATAAATTAAATTCTTTTGGGAATTTTTCTCCAAAGTATTAGTAATGTTCAATTTTTTAAAAAATCACATTTCTACTACAAATGCAGTAATTACTAGTTATAAAAAAGCAACTTTATGTAAAAGACACTTTTGATTTCAACCACTAGAGAGTAGCACTGAGGCATAAGAAAATTTCAAGGATCAAGAAACCACACAATTTGTTCTTTGCCTTGTACTTTCACAAAGTTATTTCTCTTGTTTTTGAGACAGGGTCTCGCTCTGTAATTTAAGCTGGCCTTGAACTCATGACAATCCTTCTTCGACCTCCCAAGTGCTGGGATTACAGGCATGAGCCACCACGCCTGGCTCCTAGTTATTTTTATATTATCATGATTTATTTGGAGTTTCTAAGAAAAATAAAAATATGCTTCTACTGATTCATGCTTCTACCAATGTATGATTTATTCCAAAAATACTAAAATACTCAGATTCCAACATTAATATAAATAGCAACTTTAAACCTCAAAAACCCTAATACTTGCAGATACAAAACCAACTGAACACTATAATTTTGAGTCTTTTGATGGCTTTTATACTTTTCCTTTCCTCTGAATTAAATAACCACTTTATAAGTACAACAGGCATTTTGAGGTGGTGATTCCATAATTATGAGATGTTAGAAAGGATAGGACTATGGGCATAAAAAGGGCAAAAGAAAGTGAACTGAATTGTTCGTAATTCCTGTTTTCCTCAATAATCTCAGATACTCATCTCCATTAGCAAGCCACATTTCCATTTTGTAAAAACGTAGTATCACAGCTGACTTTTTCCAATCATACCAACATTCTGGAAAGACATCACTGTGACAGGTTTTTCTCATATCAAACTGTTTCTACAAGTTAATTGATCATACTTTCTTAACAATCCAAAAACCTATTTACTGAATCCACATAAATGCTCATACTGTGCTAAGGACAAAAAGAAACTTTCTTCTTGTTCCTTCTTCCATTTGAGCATTAAAGAATACAAAAACAAACAAAAAAGCTTTGTTTTGCATTCCTGATATGATCTCTTCCTATTTAAAAAACCAATTTCTTTTGCAATAATATTTTTAAAAGTGTCAAGTGACTCCTAAAAACTAGCAACACAAATTTACAAATTTTGGGAACAAAGACTCCTATAATCATAGTGTCAAATGCAGAAACAATTTTCGAGTGATTTCAAAAGAGCAAAATCAAAATTGTAATTTCTCTATATTGCAAGAAAAATATTTTTCCCCCTTTTCTCATTTTTAGTTCTTTAGAAGGGTTTATAGTAAAGTAACATAATGCAAAATTTTTCTTAGCAATACACTGCCCAAAAGGAAAGTATAATCTTCCCACTTGTTTTTGAGAAGCCCAAAACAATATGTGATGATGCAGATTTGAAACAGATATAGCTGACCAATTAGTAACTAAAAAGTGAGAAAGTATACCTTACAGAGGAAATAAACTCCAAAGCAAAGATGCATGAAGAGCAGAAACCAGAAGCTCTTTATTCACTGCAAATACACTGGAGAACCAAATATGATCCTTTCACAAGTTTTTTTTTAAGTGAAGTTTTCCTCTTCACTATTATTTCAACTCTACCTCTTAATGAAAAAGGGAGTGTACTGTACATGCAAAAGAAACTAAATATATTCAAAACTTAGATTCTTACTTTTGATTTTCTTCTTCTTCTGATTCTTCATGCTGGTCAAATAACTCCCACTTAGAAGTTGTTACAGCTGAATAGAAGGAAAAGAGGATGTAATTCCATAAGGTAAATTAGCACTTTTGCAGTAGAAGCCCAGCTGTAGAACTGAAAGTTTATATTATAGAAGTTTTTATCTGTTTATTCTTTGAATAGCCAATTCTATGTGCTAAATCTTTCATTCTTCACATGTACACTATAATTTTATTCAAATTTAAGTGATAAAAAATGTTCTCCCTATCTATGTGATAAGATTTTATTTCATTATGACCTATAATATTAATAATTAAGCACTAGGCTACAAGTTCAGATGTGAAAGGCATCTACTAAAACCTAATAAGCATTATGGAGAGTCAAAGTTTGGTTTCTCTGAAACAGAACTCTTAAGTAAACTTCCAAACAGGCACAGCTTCCCACCTACATTTACTACTGAAATGCATTAATCTAAAAGGTTCTTGGTGATTTCTCTTGTTACTCTCAAAGCTTTCAAACCAAAGGATCTAAAACAATTATTAAAACACCAACCACAAGGAAAGCTTACACTATGATAACACTGGGCATTAAAGCGGAAACACATAGTGTTTCATAAAACATAAAAGGAAAACACAAACACAGACACCCAAAGATTTATTTATATAAGTACTCAATTTGTTAAAGATGAGTATTTACTTTTACTCACCCTGTGCTTCCAATTCAGATTCATCTACAGCTTCCCATTTTGATGGAGCAACTTTAAATATAGGCTCATTCTTCTTTGAGTCTTCAGTTGCATCCACTATGGGAAAAGATGACCCATTAAATAACTGTTACAGATGGCCTAAATTAATGGGTTTAGGTTTCATTACTAAATTATTAAAAAGCAAATTAAAATTAGTTTACTCATAGAAAAAAATATAATGATCCCCCCCCATCCATGAGGAGAAACATTACAAGATACCTATTGGATACCTGAAATCACAGATAGTAAACCAAACACTATGTTTACTATGTATTTTCCTATACATGAATACTTATGAAACGGTAAGAGTGACAGATACAATCATAAAATAGAGGGACTATTTAGTGTATATATCAACTCAGAAAATATAGATTAGTAACATTTTAAGCAAGTAAAGAAGCTGAGAAATAAAAAAAATCATAAAACACCTTTAACCATTGTGTAAAATACAAAATTCATAATTTTTTTTAATACTTTAACATATAATTTTAGGCAACTAGGAAAACTCAGGCTATATGTTGGAAAAACTGATAAAAACAGAACTGACAAAACCAGGAACAGCACCTGGCATTGTGAATATATGTGATGACAAGATTTTGCCTATAATTTCTGGTAAGACAAAAAGCAGCTTGCTTATATAGAAGGCTGACCGCCCCCACTCAAGAAAGGTAACCATATAAAAGTCTTTTTCTTGGCAGAGTCAAATGTACTGCTCAGCATGTGAATTTTAAAGTCATAGCCACTCACAGTGTAATCCCAGCACTCTGAAAGTTGGAGGCAGAAGTATCTCAAGTACAAGCCTATCCTGACAACCTATTAAGACCCTGCTTCAAATAAAAACTTAAAGGGCTGGAGATTTAGCTCAGTGGCACCGTGCCTGCCTTGCAAATGCAAGGTCCTAAGTTCAATTCCCAATGCCAAAAAATATTTTAAAATATAAAAAAAAAATTTTTAAATAACGTTTAAAAGGCAGGCATGTAGTTCAGTGCAAAAGTTTTAGATTTATTTATCTCCAGTATGACCAAAAAAAGTCACAAAAACATTACTGATTTGATATTTCAAGCAGAAATTACACAATCTTTTCCCCTATCAGCATGTATAGAAATTAAAGGTTTTTGGTAAACTATTAGCTAGATATAATGTTTAAAATTTGGACTTACAAGGCACTCCATCCAGATCATCATCAAGACTTTTTATAGGAACTCCATCGAGATCATCAATGGGAGTAGCGTCAATGGGAATTCCATCCACATCCTCCAGAGGTGCACCATCAAGCTCTTCCTCAATGGGCGCACCATCGAGATCATCTGGTACATCCTATGGGAATGTGCACTACTGTAACATTTTCCTTTGCTTGCTGAAGTCATACTGCTATTACATTTTGCAATCTAGTACGAGCCAACCTGGGTGGATACCCACATTCCCAATACAATGTAATAAAAAGAATATTTTACCACTCAGTTTGCCAAAGAAGCAGTTATCTTTTTTAAATTTTTATTAGTACATTTTTATAGAACATGAAGAACATTTATCTTAGGGACTAGCTACATGTATTTAATATAACTTGATTTTTTAAAATTTCCCTTTCCTTCTGTTTCTAAAGCCCTTTTCCCATTTTCATTATTATTGTCATTATATTTAAGCACTTATCTTTACATTTATTTATCTAATATTTACCAAGTACTTATTGGTGTCAGGCACCATATGAGGCAATGATGAACAAACCCAGGCTTAGGTTGACCTAGTTATAGAGCTTATAGTAAAGGCATATCATCCTATCAGTATTTAATAAGCAAGCCTGAGAAATCTCCCTACAAAATCTGATGATCTTAGGCAAAGAGAAGTTTCAAAAGGAAGAGGGCCAGGGATATAGCACCGCACCTGCCTTGCAAGCAGAAGGTCTTGAGTTTTTGATCCCCAGTACCACAAAAAAAAAAAAAAAAAAAAAAAAAAAAAAAAAAAAAAAAAAAAAAAAAAAAAAAAAAAAAAAAAAAAAAAAAAAAAAAAAAAAAAAAAAAAAAAAAGAACTAACGAACGAACACGTGCAAACTCCAATGGCAGGAGAAAATATGTACATTTATAAAACTCAAACAAATGAGCTAGAGTAAAGAGGCCAGTAGGAAGATCTTGCAGGAATGAAAGTGACAATACAACAGACTTGAAAAAAAATCAAGAACGATTAGGAAGTTAAAAAAACAACAGAATGGTGATAAACAGAATCTTGCTACCTCTGTGCATTGTGCTGGACCTTTTCATGGACATAATGTTATCCTTAACAAAATAAAGTCAACTATATATTGATGGTCTCTAACTTACTATGTTTTGTTTTATAGGATCTATATGTTGCACAAGATGGCTCTAAATTCTCCATTCTCCTGCCTCAGTCTCCTGAGTAGCTTGGACTACAGGAGTGCACTACCATCATGCCCTGTGATGATTTTCCAAATTTATAATGGTGTGAAAGCGACACACATTCAGTAGTAACTGTACTTCAAATCTGTACTTTGATCTTTCCTAAGGCTAACAATATGCAGCATGATACTTTTGTGATACTGGGCAGGGGCAGATAGCCATAGCTCCCAGTCAGCCACTTGATCACATGTGTAAACAACTAATACTCTGTAGAGTACTATATTGCCAGTATTTCTTGACAGGTATTTAATAAATTATATGAAATACTCAACACTTCACTTAAAAATAGGCCTTGTGTTAGATAACTGCCCAACTAGAGTAATTTTAAGTGTTCTAAGCATGTTTAAAGTAGGAGAGCTAGGTTAAGTTGTTCAACTGGTCAGGTGTATTAATGTATTTTCAATTCATGATATAGTCAACTTCTAACAGGTTTACTGGAACCCCATCAGAAGTCAAGGAGCATCTGTATATTGCTTCTACTAATAAAGTCCTTTCATGCCATCAAGTAAGAAGAAACCAGCCACTAATTCTCACATAAGGACACAACAAAGGAAATTACTGCTACATGTAATTTTGACTGAGAGGCTCTAGCAATTCTAGCAATAAAAACTCTATTTTGTGGTAAACAAAAGGTATTTTTCACAAAGAAATATTACTCACATATGTAACATATCACACCACAGCACACTACTCCCCAAATTTCAAACACAGATAAATACAGAGCACTGACCTCTGTTTCCTTTTCTTCAATAATATTTACAAGTCCTAAGAAAATATTTTGTAGTTTGATCAAAAATGGTTCTGGATAAATTGCCCAATCTTCCCAGGCTCTGAAGCAGGTCATTACCCGTTGCTAAATAAAATAGAAAATAAGACAATGAATTACTATTTTAGGCAATATGTCTCAAATTTCAATTTATAAGAATGATCATCATGATGTGCTACATTTTCTTTCAGATTAACAACCTCTGAAATTTTAAGTTTTTTCTTCTTGGGGGCAATACTGCAGATTAAACCCAATGAACTACAGTCCCAGCCTCTTGTATGTCACTAAATTATCCAGGGACAGCTTTAGCTTACAATCCTCCTGCCTCAGCCTTCCAGAGGCTAAGATTGCAGGCATGTACCACCACACCCACTCATCACTTTATATGTTTAAAAAATTGTCACTTTTCAAATAAGGGACAACAAAAATCCTAAAAATAATGGAGAGAAAAAAAAAAAAAAAAAGACCAGCAACTATTTCCTTTTTAGCAAATGTCAACTCCTATGATGATCCTTAGTACTAAATCTGAGCTATATTCTGGGAAACACAACAATACTACAAAAGCTGAAAACCAAACTAGCCAAGTTTTGACTTAAATCTCTAGGGCCCAATGACACACCTCCTGATTCTGGCTAATACTTTTTTCACTACCCCTTCCCTAAAACTTTCTAGTTCTAATTTATAATCTTTTTTTTTTTTGGACTTTCCGCCTGCCCTCCCCATAGGGTCTCATCATGTTAGTTCAGGATGGTTTTGACCTCACAGGCTGACCTCAAAATTGCAGCAATCCTCTTGCATCTGCCTCCTGAGTGTTGGGATTGCAAGTGTGTACCACCCTGCCTGGCTATGAACAAAGTCTAAGATCAAAAAATATTTAATGGATATGTCTGAATCCCCTAAATGATAAGAGTCACAGGTCATCTTTCCATACTGAAAATTTTTCTTAAAGTCTTCTCCCCATGAAAATACATTTATTTATTCAGTTAAAGTAAGTTACTTTTTGGCTTTGTTTGGCTTTTCTTAAACATTGGTCTACACTACAGCTTAAGAGGTTATTAAAAATTAGAAACTGAACATACTTTCTAAACACAAATAACTAAAATGCTCCCTAATCCAGTCAACTGCATATGCCATTACAAAACAGATGATCTTCTGAAAGTGTGTTAAAAAAGTCTAAAATATTTAAATAAACACTTAAAACTAAAAATGTATACCTGACAAAATAACATGTTATTATTTTTAATTTTCTTGATAAAGGTAAGATGGCAGGAGAAATTCAAAACAGTAATTTCTAAAACATCCAAGCTTTTAAGCTATGTCATATTTGTCTTACGTACTTTTCTAGCCTTCCAATGCCCTCCATCTTTACCTGATAGGACAAAAATAGTAAAACAGTTCACATACCTTAAAATTTTCAGATTGTAAATGGCCTTGAATTGTACGATAGGTAGCATTGAGGTCAGAAAATATTTGACATAACTTTGTTTCAAAACTGAAATTCAAATAATACATTCTTTAAAATAGCTGCTTAAAAATCCATACCCTCCCTCCTCGGTATGCTAGTCAATAAAAATTACTTTCTGACTTAAAATATTTATAAATCAATCACAAAATCCTTAAAAATCAAGAAGTAGGAATTTAAATTTTAAAAAAATAGTAAGTTAACTGCTTTAACTTCTGTTATTCTTAATTTTCTTCAGTAGAACCTTCAATATTGTTAAGAACTAAATCCCTTCATTAATCAGGAACTTCAGGTATAGAATATTTTGAACCACCTAGTTCAACATCTTTGCTTTTATAAAACAGAAAACTTATAAAAGGTAAGTGAACAGTCAGGGTAAAAACAAACAAACAAACAAACAAAAACTAAGAGTTTAGAGTAGGTCCCCAACCCAAATTTCCTTTCAGAATCAATTCCTTTCCTTGAGCCTGATAAAATAAACACAAAAGAATTCTAAGGAACCAAAGAGTTACATATTAATTATAGCACAGCGGCATAATTTTCTATTGCCTTAGAAAACATTAACAGTGAAAAACAACATATTGCTGATCAGAAGAAAACAAAGATGCTATCAGTTAATGTTTTATCTTTGGTTTCTTTCTTTATAATTTTCTCTATCCTTAGAAAACATTAACAGTGAAAAACAACATATTGCTGATCAGAAGAAAACAAAGATGCTATCAGTTAATGTTTTATCTTTGGTTTCTTTCTTTATATTTGCTATTATTTATACTTTTCAATTTATTATATAGTAGCTAGCTAGGCAATGAAGTTATTTTTTTAACTCCACCTATCTGTTCGATTGTCAATAATTAAGAATATGATATAAAATGAAAACTTTCCAAAAACTGGTAATTTAGGTTGCAGATCAATAAAGCAAACTATTTTTGAAAAAAATTCTACAAACTATGAATACACTTAAATTATTAGCAGAGAATGTTGGCAAAAGAAAAAAAATTCTCTTTTCTGAACTCCTAACCCTTAAATATTCTATTTCAAGAGTATCAACATACATTATCATACTTACAATTTTCTATAATATGAAGCATTGGCAACTTTGGCTGAAGAGTTGTACAAAACATCAGAAACCAAATATAACCTGGCAATCTATAATTCCAAAAGACAACACAAAATGGATTTAAAAATAAAAAACATTAGCTAATAATATATGTAGAAAAAAATACAGTATTGAAATCAGTGGCATACAGCTAATATTTAGCTGTAATTTAATAATTACTAATTAGAAGGGTTATATGAAATTCAATGTCATCACAACCATGACTTTGGAAGGGATAACATCTATTACTTCATTTACATTTCAACTTGTTGCTAACTTGTATGTCTATGAATGAAAAAGTTTCCCAAACAGAAACAATTTCAATCCAAACTATTAAATTCTCCCATTTTCCTAATTAAATGTTCTGAAAGAAAAATCATTTCCATACCTTTTTAGGAAGAGGTGTCTTTAAGATGGACAATGACTCAGTAATACAATCTACTATTTCTTCAGCTGCTTCAGCATTATTAAGACAGAAAACCATTGCATCTCCAATATCATTTTTCCTTGGAGTCAATCCTCGCAAGATTTCTTCTAATTTGTCCCTCTGTCTGAATATAAATTACTACTTTGAGTATTTAGATACAACTTTCAAATGCCATTTTGATTGTCATTCTGAACACTGAATTGTCTCTTTCAATTATTTTTTTAGGTTACAAATTATATAAGTTTAAAATTATAAGCATTTTTCCAGGTCTTCAAGAATGTCCCAGTCACATCCCATTACAATGAAGAACTTTCACATTCCTCCTTTGAAGGAAGTCTATTATTTTAGCACTTCTTCATGGGATAAGGAGAGGCTAACATTTTCTGTAAAGAATAAGATCATATGTATTTTAAGGCTTTAGAGGCCACATGGTTTCTGACAATTACTCTACTGCTATGGCTCCAACACAGCTACAGACAACATGTAAAGAAATGGTCATGATTGTGTTCCAATTAAATCTTATTAACAAAGCCAGAAAGCAGCCAGATACAGACTGTGGGCTGTTTGCAGAAGCCTGAGCTAAAAGTAATGAATATGTCCACAGAAACAGAAATAAATACACTAAAAAATGATAGCAGTCCCTCAACAAATTTTCTCACAATGCATCAATGCAACAAGATTTATAGACTATTCAATGAGGTATATAAATTTATGTACTAAAAACTGTTTTAGCCATTTTCCCCCTGATATAAGTAGAACCTCTGAACATGTAATGGGCAAATGTTTCTGCTTTGTTAAAACAAAGCTAACTGCATTTATCGGTGTTAGATGAACGCTGATAATGAAATGATTCTGTGATAGCCACCTCACTGCTCTCCACACAATACCAATTCTATAGTAAGATTTTGCATGTCTGACCCCACTAGCCATATAATAATTTTTCCCTCTTTAAATTGCACTCAAAGAGACAACAATTCTAAAGGTCCCTAGATAATTTCTGTAAGAATCTGAACTATTCTAATGCTAGAGAAAGAAATCAATCATGTTTAAGAAATCATCATTAATTTTATCAAAAGGAAGAGGTCAAGGTAATTAAACACATTATTTGCCAAGATGCTTAAAATTATAATGCATATGATAAATGATACCATTATTTTAAATATCCACAAGTGAAAAACCATGGGGGCATTTAAAGCAATCTTTAAAAAGATTATTTATTAGTTAATTCAACCTCTAAAGCAACTTTTCTGAATGTACAACAGAAAGGAAAAATATCTTACTCTTCCTTAAGTGCTCCTTTTTTACTAGGCTCCTCTACAAAAGCTTCTGTTTCCTGTTCTTCTGACATTCCATGAAGGTATGGATTTAACGGTGGTGGCCTCCAAAAAGATCCATTTTTGAACATACGAAAATCCTCTGTCCGCCATTTAGTTGGAGAATCTCCCTAATAAACATCCACAAAATTGTTAAAAAGATATCATAATTCAGAGTTAAAATAAACAAAGTGAACATTTCTACTTACTTGCAGAATAGAATAAAGCTTCCACCTGTAGTAAACATGGGCTGGTGTCTGGTTTTCAAATAAGAACCTAAACAAAACATAAAAAAAAACAAAACATTAAACATCACATGCTTTAAGAAAGGGCTACTTCAATTACATATAATAAACAAATATTTGCCTACTCAATTCTAAATAAAACTGAAATTTTCATAATTGTCATCTACTACATACCCCTTCTGTGTCCGAGCCCCACATTGCTTCAGCAGCTAATATTAATACTCAGAGAATATGCATCTTCTTGAGTCTTATGATTATTTTTACAAACATTTACAGGCCAGATAATGTGTCTGGCAACAGAGGTTTTTTCAACATGTAATTTCAAGAACAGTGATTTTACACTACTTAAAAATATTCATGTCTTAAATACGATATCAATTCAGAAAATAATTTCCTTTCAAACTCATTTACTCAAGCATAAAGAAAGCATTTTCTTCCTAGAGAATACTAAATGATATTTATCAAAATGTGATAGGAAAACTGCCCTAAGCACACTTTAATTACTAAAACTAATTTCTCATCTCTGCAAAAATAATCCTGTACTTTTAGAACTTTATTCTTGGAAATATTTTTAATTCCAAAAAGTAAGTTTGAAGCACCTTTAAATATCACACCTGAGGATAAAATATGACATACACATACAATGGAATATTATACACCCTTAAAAAGGAAGGAAATTCTGGTATATAGCTACAACACGGAAAGAAGACTTTTGGTAAGTAAAATAAGCTGGTCACAAAAGGACAAATATATGATTCCACTATACACCTGTATGTGTATGATGCAGACAAGTACAACAGTAATAATGAAGGGCGAAAGGTAGGGAGTTACTGCTTAATAGAAAGCTTCAGTTTTGAAGATGAAAGAAGTTCTCAAGATGGCATGTTTGCACTGGAGGTTAATAATAATGTGAATTTACTTATTGCCATTGAACTGAACATTAAAAGTAGTTTAGGTAAATTACTATAATTTTTAAATGCACACCTGAGGCCAGGGATTTAGTTCAGTGGCACTGCGCCTACCTCGCAACACAAGGTCCAGAGTTCAATCCCTGGTACGAAAAAAAGAAAGAAAGAAAAAGAAAAAAAAAAAAGCACACCTGAACATAGGATTGTTGATTTCTCTGTTCATAATCATAGCTTCAAACATCGGCCCTTCACGTACAACAAACTCTATCATTCGATGTATCAGGGCGAGCAAATTCCTACAACAACAACACAGTTAAAGAAAATGGATTCAGACCTACCACTACATAAAACTACACTTGACCTAAATTACTACAATTGTGCAGAAAAAGATTATTCTGCTGACTAATATAGAATTTAATACCAAAAAAATAACCTGGAACATATGTTAACACCTTCTTCATTAAAAGGGAGTGGAATTGTGAGGGTAAGGGAGTGGAAGGGAAGGGAAGGTGAAGGGAGGGAAATGAAAACATAGCCTCATAGTAATAAAGATTTAATTTTCTAAATGTCACTTAATTTTATTTTCCAAACGCAAAACATTAATTTACGAATCCCAACTAAATAGAAAGCTGCAAATATATAAAATCAGCAACTTGCATATAACCATCTAAATATTTACACACTATCTGTTTCAAAAGAAAATATTTCTAATCCAAGTACTTCTGTAGTAGTACTAAAATTTTATAACCATGACTATAATTTATGAAAATACCAAATACTTAACAGATTTAAGGCCTGATTTAATAAAAAAAAAAAAAATCCATCCAATTCCTGTGCCTTTCTGGTACACATATACCAGATGGAGTTTTTATTAAATCTGACCTTTAAAGAGGCAACATCCCTTTGGAACACACTTCAAACCAGTTTACAATTTATGACATACGTAATTCTGCCTGTATATTATGGATCATTGAAGAAATTATATTGCCAAAGCTTAAATAAATGGAATCCTATTTTTTCCAAAGTATTCCCAAATGGGGGACGTGGTGAGATGCCCTTCTCATTTTTTCATAACAATTATTTTTCAGTATTTAAGTCCCAAAAAGAATGTATGTAACTATTTAGTTACAGCCATTCTACTGGTTCAATTCAAAGAAAGTTCACTTTTAAAAATTTGATGCTAAAATCTATACTAAGATTCAAAACACAATTTCAGACATTGAGTGTGGATTTGTCAGGCAAAAATGACTCAGCCTGCTTACAAGCTGCTTTTGATTTCTCATTTCACCAGTCCTCTAGCATACAGAATCAGCAAGTAATAATTGGAAAAAGCAAAAGGATATTGGCTCTTGGTATGAGGCATACACTAATCGCATCTTTTCATTCCCAACTCAAACTAAACTTGTATTAATAGCTACAATATAAGTATAAATATAGAGTTAGACTCTTTCTGGCTCTATAATGCCCTGCTTCAGAATAACAGTAAAATAATCTTTGTTGATTATAATTATTTTCTCCCAGTTTTCAAACAAACCTACTTAAGCAGACACTAAAATCTCTACAAAGTGGAAAAAATTTAATTATAAAGGAGGTCAAAAATTATAGGAAGGTTTAAGTCTTTACAAAGGGGAAGCTATACATTTTAAACTATTGATTCAATTTGTTAAAACCACATAATTTTAAATTTAAAAATTATTTTTTCCTTCACAGAAGTATTAATTGCTCTGCAAACGTGCAGTTCTTGATATCCAAATGAGAATGTATTCTCACCATCCAGAGTTAATGACATTATTTTCAAGAAAGCGTGATAATATAAAGGTATGGTTCAGTTCCAAAATTCCCTTTAGTGTGAGCCAAATTAACTCTAAGGGTAATGTCTGATATCAGAAGACTATTTACTAGGTGGACAAATGCTATACAACCAGAAACTTGTGTGAATTGAGTCAAAAGCAACTTGACTTTAATATTAAAAGATACATGAAAAAAATTTATCAAGTTTAAAACCAAAGGATTCATTCTAATGGCCTGTCAAGACTTTTCGGCTAAATGTATACTCAAAATTTTGTTCAGAAATAAGCTAAGCCATATATAAAGCCACTACTACTGCATCTGTGTTTTATATGCTACAAAAATACTTTCCTGTGAATGCTTTATCAGTGGAAAAAAAAAACACTATAGTTTTAAACAGGCTTGTAACTTATACAATCTATTTTTATAAAATTAAAAGTTTAAGTTTTAAATGCTTTATATGATGACTTAAAATCAAAATCTGACAATTAGTTGTTGCTAACTTGAATTCAAGATTATTAAAGATTGTAGTCACACTCTTACTTTAAGGATTGTGTAATTTTCTTACACAATTAAAAAATGACTTTTCTACCAATAAAACAGTGTAGTACAAAAAGATGATACATTTTAGAGTGCATTATTTTATTTTTAAGTGGGAATTATCTTATTCTGGGCAACCACAACAACAACAAAAAAAAACAAAAAACAAAAAAAAAATTGTTTCTCAGTTATAATAAAACCACATTTATTGGAGTCGATCGTACCAATGTCTGGTCAAAAACTGTATACTTTCCCAATCCATCCCATGATGTTTTCCTGGTCCCCCGCTGCCGCAGACAGTTCAGCTGGTGTTGCTCACCAAGGCCAATGTCAAAGAGAATTTGGTATTCTTTTGTGTTCATTTATTATTCAACCAGTGTTGTGTTCCTGTGTTTGGGAAAAGGCTTAGCTTGACTGAGCAAGAGCATACCTAGAGTGTGAATTGTTCTGCATTAACAGTATGTTGAAAAAGAAACAAACAGAAAGAAAAATAAAAGAATTCCAAACACCTTTGTAATCATATAAAAAAGTTTCTAGTATGTCCAGCATTCATGAAAATAGGAATTTGTTCTTAAAATCAATTAGGTAAAAAAAATAAAACTGCCTTCAGTAAGAACTCAAACCAAGGTTGGGTATTAAATGTGGACAGTTCAGAAACCAAGAGGGGAGGGAAAACAGATTAGATCAATTTATAGCATTATCTAAAATTTAAGATACACTTTATTTAAAACACCTATTTTTCCATCATAAACCATTATTACACCAACTACAGATTAAAGCTATTAAACACATTCTAACCACTGAAGCTATAAAAATTCCCTACATTAATAACAATAAAAACAAAAGATAATGGCATAAAATTGCAAAGTATACTAAAATTAGTTAAATTTCACATATCCCCCCAAAAAGTACTGGGAAGGAACCATTGCTCAGTCAAGATATTACCTTTTCCTCAACACCATTTTTTTTTTTTAATTCAGAAGGGGATATTGTCTATATTTAGATCAGTAATAATAAAGAAAAACATGTACCTTTCTGTTGGGATAACCACTTTGACTATGGCTTGCGACAGAGTCTGTATATGAAGTCACATCAGATAATAAACATAGAATATGTGAGTATTGTTAACAAGTAACAAGCAAAAATATACATATGCATTGAAAATACTACACATCTAATCACAAGTTTTGCAGGCAATCACTGCATTTGAAGTAATTATACACTAAGCAATTACATAAATGCAAATGGATGTGTTCAGTGAACAATAAATGTTCACCAAATGCAAAGAATCAGAACATTCCTGCCAGAATGCACATCAATGCACTGAAATAGGTACTACACTGAAAATTATCAGATAAAGATTTTAATTTGTGAAATAATTAGCTGTTTGCCTCTGACCATACAGTTTGCTACTTTTGTTCCCAAGCCTTTAAAACCAGCCCTGTCATTTTAAGTGTAATTCATAATAGAACCAACAAATTCGTATAACTCAAAATTAAGTTGGTTTTATTTAATAAAAAGAGAATACTCACCCTTTGCTTTTACTAGATTACTTGTTTTTTTCAAATACCACATACGCTCTCATCAAATATTCTAATACCTCGGACTCTGAAAACTAAATTAGCTAGCTGCCATACTAAAAATTTAACTATTTAGGTGGTCTTTCTAACTGAAGTCAGTAAACCAAATACAAACTACCACTTTTCAGAGCAAAATAAACTGAGATACTGCATTTAAGCAAACCTGAATACAACACTGGACAAAAGAAAAAAAACTTAACAAGTGGTCAAAAAAAGAATGGTAGCCACAAATAAAAATATGACCTAATATTTCAATAAAGGGTTTCCATGGGCTAAGGCAGGGAACACATCTATTTATTTAAGAGCTGCCAAACAGAATTACACACACATTTTTTATAAAATTGTTGAAAAGAAATACTACCACAGATTTAGTATTTACAAATTAGATGCGGCCCTATGTACATTTTTAAAATTACCTTCTCAAAATCCTCCTTGTTTTTAGGCGGTGGTAACATGGGAGCATTGGGGTTTTTTAACCGCTCTCTAGGCTGCGCATTAAAAGGCAGTCCGGATGGAGGTGGAGGAAGCGTATGTTCCATCATAGAAGGAGGAATGTATATTGGATGTGGAGGAATCGGTACGGCTTTACCCCAACCTAACTTCATTTCAAAAGACATAATCATTTTTCCTACAAGAAAGGTAGGTCACATTAGTCAGCCTCAAACAAAAATAACATACTTCTGGTGGTTTAATTAAATTCATTTTTAATCTCTCCATTTTGAGTACAATTCCTCACTAGAATTTTATAAATACTCTTCTGAGCCAAAAAAAGTCTAAATTTAATAAATGGATACTAAAAATTTTCTTACCATTTAAATTTTTTAAAGCTCTTTCAGCATCTCGTCTATTCATAAAGGCGACAAAGCCACAATTTCTCTCTCTCGCTCTTTCTTCATCAGTTCTAGGCCACATAATTTTCACACTAGCCAATGGCCCAAATCTTCCAAATTCTTGGCACAGCATTTCTTCATTCATCTATGACAATGCATGAGTTTTTTGGCATAAAAAACAAAAAGACAAAAAAAAAATTCTATTCAACAGAAAGCAAAGTAGTTTTTAAAAAATGAAAAGCAACATATTACTCTTATAATTCCAAGTACTGAGAACTCTACAGAAAATTCTGGCCCTCCTGGGACATTCACAAGTTATTTCTTATAAGAAAAATTCTGTTTTGCTTAAAATATAAAATGCCAGGATGGGGAGGCTGGGTGGCTGTAAAAAAAAAAAAAAAAAAAAAAAAAAAAAAAAAAAAAAACTACTTTCTTATTTTAAGACCCTGGCTTCTAAATACATTGTTCTACAGAGATGTTTTGTCTAGCCTTGTAAGCAGGATATGAGGGCAACCCATTGAGCACCAGGGTTGAATTCGGCTAGGTTGGCTAGGCGAGTGGGTGTACCTTTCCTCCCTTACCACTCTGTGTGTGTCCCTCCAGAAGCTGCAGGCTTGGTGGACAAGGACAACCACCCCCATAGAGGAACCTCCAAACAAGCTCTTAAGGTCCATTTAAGGAACAATTTCCAGACAGCCATGGTTGGCACATTTAAGAGGGAAATTAATCAGCATTTGTTGATGAGGAAAGAAAAATCACCGTTTCCCTTTCTAGTTCCCTATTTCCAGTGTGATCAAGACTAGAGAAAATAAAATGTAAATATGCAATAAGGTCAAAGTGTATCTATAATTTTAAAAAAACTATTCTGTATAATTACTATATTCCCCCATAACATAATTGATAATACTGCTGTGGAAAAATAATTAAAATATAAAAGACAAAAGTACAAACACTAGCTCAATGGTACAAGGAGAAAAGGAATTCCATAAAAAAAGCAAGCTATACATCAAAAGTTGATAGTTTCAGAAGAACATTATTCATTACTGGTTATACCCTGATTGATAAGTAATAAAACCAGCACCAGGAAAAACATTTCAAATTCAGAATACAGGCTAGTTATTAGAGGAAGAAAAGTCCCCAATAATCTACAGCAAAACAATTTGGGCCATACCTATTAAGTCCCAAGTTTATGACTTTAAAGACGATCTGGAGTTCCATTCAAAAGCATATGGCAATATAGGCCAAAATTCATTTTACTTTATTAATATTACCTGTGGATTAATGTTTCCAAGGTATAAATTAGTAGTACTTGGATCTCCTACATCATGTGAGCCAGGTGCATAATCATCTAGAACTACAGCAAAAAGAAAAAAAAATTATAACCTGCAAAGTACAAAGTGAAAAATTTATTAATTGAAGAGCAAGAAACTTTTACCACCGGATGATCTATTTCTTCTTGAAGGTGCATCCACTTAAAGGGAAGAAAAGAAAATAATTCTTAGTTTCTTAAATAATTAATCATAAATGTACACATTAAAATAAATGTCACTTACTAGAACGACGCTGACCATCAGAATCTGACTGAGGAGGTTCAAATCGACTTAACCTGCCTTTTGTTTTATGTCTCTCATCACGCTCTTCTTGAATTCTGTTGAAAATATTTACAATCACTAAAAATGAGCTACAAATACCTTGTTCACATTTAGTAAGACCAGAGCTCACCCAAGTACTATCTTCAACTAACTTGACCTATCAGTAATGAGAACCAAAATTAGAGCAGCACTGTTGTGACAGAGCCATAGCAAATTTTTGTCATCTTAGCAGTACAAATCAAAGCCCACTTTTTAAGGTAGAGGAAATTCAACATTAAAACTGCCAAATAAGGGACAGGGATTTAGCTTAATGGTTCCACCACTTGCCTTGCAAGTACAAGGGCCCAAGTTCAATCCCTGGTACAAAAAAAAAAAAAAACCTGCCAAATAATGTTGTTTCACATTAAATTTGATTACCCCTACCTCTATCCCAAGTACATTTAAATTTTTTTTAAAGTTATGACAGTAATAGACACATTGCCATTAACCCCACACATGTACACTTCAAACATCATTCTTGCCACTTTCTGAAACAGTTCTGAAAGTACAATTTCATGAGAATTTTTCAAGGTGTAATAAAAAAATACAAAAATGCTGTTGCTAAGTACCATCCAATGAAAAGGGTGACTTGCAAAAACATTAGTGTGTCCTCATCCACCTTATTCACCAATATGACACTATGCAACTTCTGGCTCTTTCCAAAGTCAAAATGACCATGAAAGGTACACTTCACTCAATTTAGGACATCAAAGCAGCCGCAACAATGCAACTGAAGATACTCACAAAAGAGGGCCTCCCAGAACTGCTTCAGAAAAAATTCAGTAAGAATGATGGGATATGGGTGTCTAAAGTGAGGGGGTATATTTTGAGGGGGATTAATGGCAATGTGTCTTTTACTGTAATACGACTTTTAAAATTTAAACTATCATCATATTTTTCAATCACACCACATACTATTTCCACTACAAAGACTGCAGCCATTAAATAAGTCACTGAATTGAATCCACACTCTAACCTAGATGTCAGACTAAATGCTAATTCATTTTCAAACACTCCACCAATGTATTATCTAGATAACCTAATGGTAAGCTAGTTAATAATAACCTAAATACTATATTCTTCAAGCCTACATTTGAGTATATGCTCAATATACCTATGATAGTTCTCCATACTATAAAACTTACTGTTTTAATTCTTCTTTGAAGAGTTCCAAATTGCTTTTTTTCTTTTCCTTCTCTCCTTTCTTCAATGGCTACAAAGGATATGAAAAGTATAGTTCAAACTTAAGAAGAATACAAAGTATTTTAGTTACAATTTAAAACTTTCATGCCTCAATTAAAAAAGGGTAAAAATCAAGGCATAAAGAGAAAATATTTACAAATCATATAGCCAATAAGAAATCTGACTCCAGAAGACATAAAGTACTCTTAAAATTCAACAATAAAAAGACAAATAACTCAATTAAAACAAAGACTGAATAGTATTTCGCTAAAGAAAATTACAAATGAACAGTAAACACATGAAAAGATATTCAACATTAGGCAAACAGGTATCAAAATCACAATAAGATACAACTTCACACTCTTAAGATGTCTAAAACTACTTTAACAAGTGTTAATGAAAATGTGGGAAAATGGAAACCTTTATTTATTACCACTGAGATGATAAAACAGTTTGTTAGGTTCTCAAAAGTTAAACAGAGAATTACTATGTGACTCAAAAATTCCAGTCATGGGTATTTATTCCTAAAAGAACTGAAAACCTATATCCATACAAAACCTATGTCTATGCACAAAATGTTTATAGCAGCATTTCTCCTAACAGGAGAAAAGTGGAAACAACCCAAATGTCCATCAAGTAATCAATGGAAAAGCAATATATAGTATATCATAAAATGTAGTATCTGACAACAAAAAAGGGGCTGAAATGTTGATACATGCCACATGCTAAAAAAGCCAGACATAATAATATATAATTATATATAGTATAATGTATATATAATGTATAATTCCATCTGTATGAATTGTCCAGAACAGGAAAATCAAAGGAAGAAACGGTAAAACAGTTGTTGCCAGGAACCAAAGGTAGGAGAGAAATGGAGTTAAAAGATTATGGATATAGAATTTCAATATGGGGTGCCAAAGCATTCTGAAAGTTGAGTAGTGCTTAAAGATTGGTAGTTGCTGAACAACTGTGAATATTGCAGCTAATTATACACATTAAAAGGATAAATATTATGGTATGTGGTGCTCACTTTGGCAGCACATATACTAAAATTTTATGGTATGTGAATTGTATCTTCAGAAAGCTATTGTTTCTTTAACTTCTTTCAGAGCTATTTTAAAAAGTCATACAAGAAAAATCAGTCTCACTGTTCATTATTTATTCACCAAATATAGCTCCAAATGACATAACCCACACCCATCTACCACCTCCCATAAAAAACCCACCATCCAAGAATAAAAATGTTTCTACCACTGAACTACTTAAGGTAGTTACTAGCTCCTATAATAATTCTCAAAAAGTTCCAAAATATCCTGGGAAACATATACTACACATTGCTCCACTCTACTCTAATGTATCTCTTATCTTTGAAAATTACTAGGTTAGAAAGTATCAGAACTCAGCATCTACTTCCAAAAAATTAAAAACAAAACAAATCAAAACAAAAATCCCAAAGCCTGCTTACTGTGAACGTGTAATTGGTAGTGTCACCTTTAAACGTAAATGATATTATTACTTAAGTATGACTTACAGGTTTTTTGGTTTCTATCACCAGAAGAGATGGTGGTCTTTCATTGGATGACTGATTTGGAGGATTTTTTTGATCTGCAAATCTTGAAGACGGCTTATAGATTTTACCTCTTTTTTCATCTGTTTCATGTTCTTCTGAAATTTAAAATACTAAGTTGCAAAATTAATTTCACCTTATTTGATTTTCTTTACTACTTAAAAATACACAATTACTAATATGCCTTTAATATTGTCTATCACTATTAACAAGAATGAAGTTAAATTCTAGTACCACCTTACGCTCAAAATACTAATTTATTCACTTTATAGCAAAACTACAATAAATTAAAATTTTTGCTAAGTGCTCAGCTGTCCTCAAACATGAAAGGTACTAAATATTTTTTTAATTACCTGACTTCAATATCTCATTAATCCACATTTTGCTATATATTTTAATAATTAATGTAACCACCAGAGAGCGCTGACAGAAAGGAAATGTGAAATTCAAAAGTAATCAAACTTCTATAATTATTCACTTATAGTTATTCAATCAAGACAGGGTTTATTCAAGGACTACAATAATAATATTCACACTTACCTTTAGCTGCATTAACAACACCTCCTCTCACAAAAGTTTTTACTTTATTACCATCACTTCCTTCAAAAGCAGCAAGAAATTCCTCATAAATCTCAGCAGCTGCCTTTTCATCTTCCTAAATAACATAACAAGATGATATAATACAAAAATTACTATTGTAATATAGGGTTAAATCCATTAAGGAATAGCATAGATGAAATCTCTCCCTTCCCAAGATAAGCAGTTCTAGTAAGAAAGTAAGAATATCTATCCAAGGGTCAGGGATTTAACTGAGCAGTTCTGCTGCCTGCCTCACAAGGCACAAAGTCCCAAGTTTAATCCCTAGTACCAAAAAAAAAAAAAAAATGTCAAGCCAGGCGGGGTAGCACACCCCTGTAATCTCAGCACTCAGGAGGCTGAGGCAGATGGATTGCTATGAGTTCAAGGCCAGTCTGATCAGGGTCTCAAAAGGAAATCTCTAACTCTTGGTAGATAGTATACATCAATTAACTCAGTGACTAAACAAAGCCTTACTTCTTTAACAGCAATTTGCAGAACCAGAAAAAAAACCTGTTAATAAACAAATTCGTTTACAGACCATTCAATGTAAGACTGTATGGAAGGACATTAAGCTATTAATGTTTATGAAGTTTCCAAGCCATGACAGCTTAATTTGAACATAACTGCTTTTACAATGTACCAAAGTTATGAGTATTGCTAGTTAAAAAACAGCAACTCCTACAACATAGCACGAACTGTGACATTTTCAATTATTCTGTGTCCCCAAAACATGCACTAATAAAAGACCAATGTGACAAAATAGAAAACAAAAGAAATAAACCCAACATGTGGAAATTAAATAAAAGGAACACCTCAAATCAGTGAGAAACACACTGACTTTTCAATAAATGATATCAAGAAAACTGGCTAACTATTCAGAAAAAGATAAAATGAATCAATTCTTCATATATCAGGATAAACTGTAAATGAATCAGGTTTTATGTTCTTTAAAATGAAAACATAAGTACTAGAATAAAATATGAGGACATTTCTTTATATGGTAGGAGTGGGAAAAAACTGAAAAACCAGGGCTGGGGATTTACCTCAGCGGTTCAGCGGCCTGCCTTGCAGGCACAAGGACCCGAGTTCAATCCCCCGTACCAAAAAAAAAAAAAAACAACAAAACTGAAAAACCAGAATCACAGGAAAAGAATGAAAATACAATTATGAGAGAATAGCTTTTACAAAAGGAAAATAAAAAGAAATCAATAAATGGGGGAATCACAACTTGTACAGCATTACAAACAGTGTTAATAATTTATGCGAAAAAGGAAGAGGCAGCCAGTTAAAAGAAACAAGAAAAATTGATCAACTTTATACATGGTAAAAGAAATGCAAACTTAAAACTACACCCAGAAACTACTTTTCACCTGGTAAATTGGCAAAATTCCTTCAATAACATTCTCTATTACCAAGACTATGGGGAAACAACCACTCATAAGTTACTAACAAGGATCAAAATGTCCCCGTCCCTACAGAAAGCAATCTGACAATATGACAAATAGAACTACATTTACACATTTATCATTCAGCCAAGTGGTCTCACTTCTAAAATTATATCCCAAAGATACATTAGCAAAGAAAATTAAAAACAAAAAACATGCAAGGTGGTGCACACCCATGATCCCAGCACTCTGACAGTCTGGAGCATGAGGATCTCAAGTTTGAGCTCAGCAAGACTTTGACTCAAAATAAAAAATGGTTAAAGATGTAGTTCAGTGTGAAGGCCCTAGGTTCAATCCCCAGTACTGACAAATGCGTGCACACACACACACACACACACACACATACACATGGCCTAACACTATCCATACCAGTGTAATCTGTAAAGACAAAAGACCAAAATACCAAATATCCACAATAGCATTTTAGATGATTAAACCACTGCACACAGCTACAGAAAGAAAATAATAATTACTATTTTCATATCGGAAATAATTTCTGAAATACATTAAATTAAAAATACTATGTGGGGGAAAAATATACTATACATAGCACTCTACCATTCACCTCAAGAAAGTCGGTAAAATATATATATACACAGATTCTCTTACTTATACAAAAAACATACAGAAAAAGAACCAAAACTGAGGAAACAGGTCATAGGGCACAGGGATAAAATCTGGACTCTTCCAGTTATATATGATGTGATAAATTGGACTTGAAATGGATCTGAGAATACCCAGAGGTCAAAAACTCTAAGGAAACAATGCTCTACTGCCCATATATTTACTACTCTATTAGACACATTTCATTTCCATGGATAACTCAAAATATATTTTAAACATTACCTTTTTCTTTAACTCCTCCTGTTCCTTCTTACTTAGTGTTCGTTTAGCTGTACTCATTTTTCCAATACTGAATGCTTTAAGTTTGTTTTCCAGAAGAGGCTGTCCAAAAAAATAAAAAGCATGTCTTTACTTACTAATTCTTAACGGCAACTATAAACTTCATACACCTCAACAACAACCAAGTTTTCAGAATAGCTTTCTATTTTACAATTTCACTGTGAGCCAGGCGTGGAAGCGCACGTGCCTATAGTCCCAACACTCGGGAGGCTGAGGAAGGAAGACTGCCATGAGGTTGAGGGAGACACAGCTCAAGGCCAGGCTGAACTACACAGTGAGACTGTCTCAAATAAATAACAATAAAGTTAAAATAAATAAAAAATTAAAATTTCACTGTAAAGTAAAGCTGGGGTTGCTCAAGCATCAGGTGCTGCCTTGGGCTTGACTCTGACATATCGATTCATTAAAGAATGTTTTTACTAGCTCAAGGTCAGTAATGTACAAAAGCCATTTTTTAAAAAAGCTAAAAACAAACGATTCAGACACCAAAGCTTAGAAAAAGAGTAAAAGCAACTGAGGAGGGAAAACAGACATTTCTGGGGAAAAGTAGCAATGATAGAAAACATCCTGAAATATAGAGAAAGCAGCATATATTTCCATGGTCGAGATATCTGCTATCTATAACCCCCATATCAGGTACTTTTATCATATCATATACTTTTATAATTTTAATAAATTATTTTACTTTATCAACAACACTTATTTATGAATATAATTTCATTTCCTTTTCTGTATCACAAACAGTATTTCAGATTCCAGTTAAAGTAAAACCACATTAGTTAATTTCGAACACACACTGAATACTCATCTGAAAACACAAATCAATATAATGCTTAAAAAAAAAAATGATTATACAAGTGGAAAATTCCACAGGAACCTGACCTCTGTGATAGGTGCAGTCAAAATGCAGGTACACTAAAAAAATACAGTATAAAACTGCCCTTAGGATATGGGTATAAAACATATATTAAACATAAATTAATTCTATGTTTAGACTTGGGTCCTGTTCCCAAGATAACTCATTATAAATATGCTAATAGCCCAAATCTAAAACCTGAAATCCAAAATACTTCTGGCCCAAGTACCCTGAATAAGGGATGTCCAATCTATATAAGAAAATGTTTAAACACTCCACTTGTATAATTTTAGAAGCAACTTCCTTCTGAAATATGGACTAAATACCCTGTAGTCTTCTCATTTTTCAATCAATTATTAATTTTTGACTAATCACCTTAAAAAGTAGATTAAGTATAGCCTAAAGTATCAAAACCTAAACAAATTACAAAATGAAACTTTACCAATTCACTGGTTATTAAACAGGCTTGCCCTTGGGAAATGCAGAATGGATGAGTATCATTCATGTGAACTATTTTAAAGTTATATTAAAATCCCTTTGAGAAAAATATAGCAATTTATAACCCAAAAGCCAATAATGGATTTCAATTGATTCAAAATAAAACTTTTCTCTGTAAACAGAAAAATATTTTACAACCATTTAATGTTGAATCAACTTCAAAAATTTAAACACAGGTTGGGGATTTAACTCAGTGGTTCTGCCGCCTGCCTCGCAAGTGCAAGGACCCGGGTTTGATCCCTGGTACCAAAAAGTAAATAAACAAACAAACAAAACGGGAACCTTATGTAAAATTTCAATTAAAAATGTAATTTTATGGCTCATGGCGAGTTTACTGAAAGGAATGACTGAATTATCCATCATGAAGTTTGCTTATACAGTTTTTGCAGAAACAAAAAAAATATTAGAACTGAAAACTGGACATTTGTGTTCCTGGGCCAGTTATTTAGCTCAGTGGCACCGTGCCTTCCTTGTAAACACAAGGACCTGACTTCAATCCCCAGTAGCAAAAAAAAGTGTTTCTATAAAATGCTTCTCAAAACGTATTTATGCTTAAAAATATTAAACAAGAATAAAAAATGTGTTATCAGTGGTTATTATTTGCTGGTAATGATTATTTTTGTTACATTTAAAAAAAAAATTATTTAGAACAGGTAAAAGAACTACAGCCCAAGAACACTTTGCAGATCTTGAAGTAAAAAAGCTCCTTCTCTGGGCTCCTGACTGACCCAGGCACAAGCAGCACCTGCTCCTCTCTGCTTCCCAGGCTGAGTAGATTCGCCCTCTCAAAAACAGGACCGCTTTAATCATCTGTATTTTCCATGACTGGTACTAGGCATTTGGTTCAAGGAAAAGATAAATCTGACCATAACTACGTTGCATATAAAATACTCCTTTGCCAAAAATTGAATAAATGAATTGAATGAATAGCCCCTTTGTTTTTAAGTAAAATTAATGACAGATCAAGATTAGCACTCCTTTCTTATGTTTACCAATACTCACTCTTGAAAGATTCTGATGAGGAGAATCACAAAGGTTTTCACGGGTATTTTCATTCCTATAATTATGTTTTCTTGGGCTCTTAGGTCGTGTCCGACTTGGCATATCACTATCTGAAGGTCCAGATGCATCCATCTTCAGCAAGGTAAAAGGAAAAGAAAAAAGCTTTTAAAAAGTCACACATACAGTACTGAAAACTAGAAATAATCCATGTATTCAAACATTGACAAATTTCACTATTGCCCTTAAAATACCATATTCCTTAACGTCCTCACTGATACCATCAGCAAAGTCCTTAAGAACAGGGAAAGTCTGCAATAATTTTAACCGTACTTGACAGCTCCAAGGTGCTATTAGTAGGAGTTTTTCTTGAAGTAGGTTTTTTTTCCTTCATTTTTAAAAAAAAGTGCAAAATACCCAAGTCTGATTAATCATAGTTTGTATGTCAGTTGTTCCTTAAGTAAAAATGGTACTCACTCCATGAAAAAAAAATAGCAAATTTGGTTTCAACAATCACAATTTTTTTTTGGTAGGGAGATTGAACTTGGGACCTTGTTCTTGTGAGGCAGGTAGCAGAATCACTGAGCTAAATCCTCAACCCTAAACAGTCACACTTTGGTAAGCACAAAGTATATTCTATGTGCTTCTTATTTCATCACCCAAGTGATAAAGATACACAAAAGTCCAGACTATACTTTGTATTGCTTCACCAAAAATATTACTCAATGAAAAAAAGCGGTTTTTTTTTACTGTGCCTGGTGGGGAAGACTACAATGACTACCAGTACATTTTGATGTTACTTCCTTGATTCATCCTAAGGTGCCAATGGGTTAACAACTGATTGCTCTTTTACTATCAGTGCAAATGTCTACACAGTGAGAAAGACAAAACATTCCTTAGTATTACAACAGAAGAGGTTTAAATTTAGAGAATCCCTGAAAGTCTCAACAAACCACAGTGGTCTCTACACCACACTTCAAATACTGCTATAGTAACATGTAGAGGAGTATTTACTGCAATATTAAAAATATCTAAAAGCAGTCAGGCATGGTAGATAGCACATGCCTATAATCCCCAGCACTCAAGAGGCTGAGGTGGGAGGATCACTAGGAGTTCAAGGCCAGCCTGGGCTACACAGTGAGGTCAAAGTCAACCTAAACTACATAGTAAAACCCTGTCTCAAAAAACAAAATAAATCAAAATATCTAAAAGCTTTAAACAAAAAGTATACACGGCCCACCCACAGAGACATAACTTAATGTTAATTCTCCACTGTGAAACATTATGATACTATTAGAAAAAATAGACTAGAGTTATGCCAAATGATTTGTGAAGATATCAGTAAGTGTTATATGCGATGAGAAAAGTGTATGTATAATGAATGCAATTAGGGTCAATGTATAAGTACACACATTTATATCTGTACAGCGTAGGCATACGGATATATTCAAAGACAGTTACATTTTTATTAAAAACAAAGGTTGTTGTTTATACTTACATGTGCATCTGAAGATCCAGATGAATGAACATCTGATGATCTAGTCTGCAAATATTAAAAATAATAAAAGTCAATATTTAAAAGATTAGGAAATATCTTAACTAAAAATGTTTCTCATATTATATAAATGTAATTTCCCAACTTTTAGAAGTTTTCTCAGCTAATAAAACAAGTGCAATTTCTGACTTACAAAAAGGTTCTGACCCAAAGTAAATGCACAAGTCAATGCATATTTTTAAAAATAATATAAATGCTAATGAAATGAGACATAATTACCTTTTTATAGCATAAATTAGAAACATAACCACTATTTTTGCAACAGAATTTATGTGCAAAAGCTCTTCCTAAGTCAAAATACTTTACTTACTGCCAAAACACTGCCAGAACAAAACTTTTTGGTACAAAACAAAGAAACATTTCTTTCCTTTTCCATTCACCCAAAGCCACATAAAGTGGACCCTCAGGCTGGGAATGCAGCTCACTTTGGTAGAGCATTTGCCCAGCATGCTGCATGCCCTGGCTCCTGGGGTCAATTCCCACCACTGGGAGAAAAATGTGGATTCTAACAGTAAGAAAACATATATAATACCTAGTAAAAGGTACAAGTTACACTACAAATATAGTTCAAAAAAAGGAAAAAAATATCATAGAATCCCCAAATAAGCCACTGTTTGAAACTTGTAAGAGAAGTGCTTCTAACTCAGAATACCACAAGGTGAATTAGAAGAGTTCAGTCAAGGAAGTTTAGTCTTCAAACAATGGCACTTCCTAACAATGTCAACTACTGGAATCTTACCTTACAGATTACATATGGCACAAAGTAATTTGTTTTTTCCTCATACATCTAGGGACAAAGAGGCAGAGCTATAAGATTATTAACTAAATATTGCGCTGTATCTTTCTGAAAATTTTACAGAGACCCAGAATTTGTCACTGAGCTGTTTTTATTTTTGAAAGTATTATGTAATTTAAGTATTAAGAATGAAATAAAAAATCTTGAGATCACAAGTATTTCTCAAGATCCCTACCTCTCAGTTCTAGATTTTAAAAAAAAGACATTAATCATTAAAGTTTTAGAAAAAAATAAAAGATTTGTATGCTTTAGAACAAAGCAAATACAGGAAGATCCACATGGGTCCACACACTATTGGTTTTATCTTATCCCAACATAACGCTGAAGAGAGCTGACCAACTCCTCTAAACTCCACTGTAGCCCTAGACAAAAAGCCCTAGTCAGCCCAAGAGGCTGCCCATCTTTACTCTTTTTTTCCTGCCCTCAACTTTTTTTTTGAGACAGGGTCTCACTATGTAGCTGAAACTGACCTGGAACTCACTATGTAGCCCAGGCTGGTCTCAAACTCACAGCAATCCTCCTGCCTCAGTCTCCCTAGCGCTGGGATTACAGGCATGCACCACCATGCCCAGTTGCCCTCAACTGTTTTATTATAGCTCCTATTCATTCTCTTCTCTCAACCATTTTGTTTTGACACGGTCTCACCATGTAGTCCGTGCTGGACTCCCAGCAATCGTCCTACCTCAGTCTCCTGAGAGTGCTATGCTGGGATTTACAGGCGTGCACGACCACACTTAGTTCTTTGGGGGTTTGAGACTCGTCTGGTCCCAGCCATCCTTTCTTATTAAAAGCACAGAGGAAATGTTTCTACGTTAAAACTTAACTTTGTGAAATATGAAATACACTTTGAAACACAACTTGAACTCTACACATCTGCAAACATCAAGAAATTAGAAAATCCAAGATAACAAATGTTCACTTTTACAAATGAAAATTTTCCAATCACCAGGCTGGATGAATTTTTAAAAGAATCAACTGCTTCCCAAAATACCAGTATTAACCTGGTACTTAACAAAAATCCTAATCATAACAGCAAGGAAAATATAGTAAAGCACCTAGAAACCAACTTAAGAAATACAATGATTGTAAAGAAACCACAAACTTTATGGAAAGATTGAGACCAGACATTTATCACTGGTACGCAGCTATAGCAACACAGCATTCAGAATGAAACTTTTTTAGACTTCAGATTAACAGAAAGATACATATAGTAGTAAGATTTTTGATTGACTGACTGACTTCAAAAGTGGTTGAGGTAAGCAGTAAATATAACACCAAAGAGACAGAGCCTCTTTCCCATGAAATGAACTGTATTATGTCTTGGGTTGTTTTCCTTACTTGAAAAATACAAACTAATGATACTTAAAGATCTAAAGTCTACAGCACAGCTCCTCAGTCAAATGAAAAGAGTCAAAAGCCAGGAATGGAAGGGCAGAAGGGAAATATGTGGTAAAAAAGCAGCAGACAAAAGAGAAAGTTATCTCAGGGCAGAGAAAGCAGATACTACAGATATGGGGAAAGACAGAAAAAAAATCCAAAAGAATAAAGTATAATTCTGATGGCTTCTAACAAGATAAAAGTAAAGACAAGTACACTAGATCTTATGGCCCTTTATCCTCCTGGGTGAGAATAAAAACTAGTATTTTTTTCTTGCTCCTATTTAACTTCAAATGAAAGTCCCACACTTGAGTTTTCAAATTAGCAAGCTATCTACAGCAACTTTATTCCACTACCACCATACTGCCTAGCCATTCCCTGTCTCCTAAATATATTATTTCTCCTTTTATCCTCTAATAGCATTAATTTTTTTTTTTTTTTTTTTTTTTTTTCCAGGGGATTGAACCCGGGTCCTTTCCCTTGCAAGGCGGGCCCCCGAACCGTTGAGCTAAATCCCAACCCCAATTGTTCTTATTTTTTTTTTTTTTGGTACCAGGGATTGAACTTGGGTCCTTGCGCTTGCAAGGCAGGCCACCAAACAGCTGAGCTAAACCCCCGGCTAAGAGCATTAATTTTAATCTCCACATGTTTAAGAATTTTTCCTACAGGAAGCATATTAACACCTTTATTGTACTAAGGTGACTTCCAATTCTTGACCTTCAATCTTGGTTACCCTTTGAGTTTCAATCCATTCTCAGTCTCCTGAACATCTTCACTTGAATGTCTGCAAGTTCCTTAAATGTCACTCATCTAAAATTTTTTCCAAACTAGTTTCTCCTCTTACCTTTATTTCTGACACTGGCAGTAACTCTCAATCACTTATAATCTGGAAATATCAAGATGATAAGAGTACAAACTCTGGAATCAGACTGCCTGGTTATATAACTCATCAGCTTTGTAACTGTGAGGCCTAGTTTTTTCATATGCAAAGGTGAATAGCACCTGTCTCAGAATTGTTTCAACAGGAAAATATACATGAAACACTCAGAACTATATAACTCAGTAATTGCTCAATGCATGTTAGCCAGGAGAAGCATTATAACAGGGTCATCCTGGACTTCTTATCTCCAATAAAGAGATAGTCAAATTCATTTCACCTCTAACATAGCTCTTTTATGGGTACCCTTCTTATCCTTTCTGAAGAACCACTGTGGTTCAGATCTTTTTATTTAACCACTTATGGGGCACCTCTTATTAGTCCAGTGTAGTGCCTTGCTTAGAGATATACATAAAATATGATATAGCTCCTGCCCTTAAGAGCTAATAAATTTTTTTTAAAAGGCAAGTAAAACAATGTAGTTTTGCCACGGGAGTACAGAGAGCAGGCAAATCTTAATTGGTCAGAGGAAGGAGGGTTGTTAGGGAAAACGTTCCAGGAGAGGAAGAGGTGAGATTTTTGAAGCAATCTTCAGTATGCCAGCAATAACCTAACTGGTGATCCTAACCCTCAAATCCATCTACACCATTCCTCTGGAATAACACTCCTAACAGGCTTTTCTGTCTTACATTTCTCAAATTTTATATCCTAGTACCTCATCTTTCCAGTTTTTGCTTCTTTTACTATCCATGCAAGTGCCCTCTACACTGGCTAAACCAGACTATTTATTAATCCATTTCTCAGCAATTTAATTATTTACCTCACCCATCTTTTTTTATGCTCCCATCTATACCTTTCAAAACTCTGCTCACACTCAAAGGAACCAATCATATTCTTCTATGCTCTGAAAGCTTCCTCCTACCCATCTTCATTCAAAGTAGTGTCACTTCATTAGATACTTCTAATAGCTCTTCCTTGTACTACTGTGTGTTTTGACTTTTTTCAAGATAGCATGTTCCCTCAAAGTGGGTATAGTTTTAACATTTCTACAACATTAAGCACAAGATCTAGTAAGAGTCAAAATATACTTGCTGACTTGACCTGTTCAAACAAGGACCTACCACACAAAATTATACTACACTGTCAACACACTATGCTGTCCACTCCTTAACAAGCAGCAGCTACATAGCTTAATAACATTATCCAAGCCAAACAAAAATTTCCACATCTCAAAAAATTTATAAAAGCATTAAGATAAGCACTATGTATATAATACATATAACAAATCTATGCTGTATCTAAACTGAGGAGGAAATTAGTTTTTAAAAAATCAGCTCCTCAAGGAAGACATCAGACACTACCAACAATCTCATGTTACTGGCAAATGCATCTTGCTTTCAATAAAGTTATTTCAGGGCTGAGGGTATAACTCAATGATAGAGTACATATTTGCCACATGCAAGGCCCTGGGTTTAATAGCGAGCACCAAGAAAGAAAATTATTTCAGCAAAACAGCTAATAAATGGCAAATGTCAAAACCACTTAAAATAACATAAAAGGCAAATAATTGTAATATTAAGACCTTGCTTTAAAATTATACGTTTTTATTTCAAAAATTATGCTCTCATAAAAAGCAGTAGTTTTCAACATGTATACCAGATGATCTCTCATTGGCCACAAGGCAAATGTCTATCTTTCTTATATTTATTTTCCAAGGAAAATAAGTTGCAGGAAGATGAATCAAAATAAAAGCTGGACTTTCAAAAAACAATCAATTCTGTACAGTAAGATAAATTTTTTAAACCATCATCAGCAGTCATATACCAGTACCAGTGCTACAGACTTAAGTTTCTAAAAAGTACCATTCAAGAAAATAGAAGTTCATATTTCCACCTTTCACCCTAAAATACAACTAACTTAATCCAAAAATCTAAGCACCCTATATTTTAAGAGAAAATTACAACCATACCATAACAAAGATTCAGTATAAAACTAGCAAGCTATGAAGAGCCTAATTTTTAAGGTTTGTGTTTTGTCTGGGGTTTTTCATATTTAAATCCTAACAAAAAGTAATAAATATTTAAAGTATTTAAGTATTAGAAGGCCTGGAAAGTACTAGAAGTAATAAATACTTAAAGATTAAAAGCCTTAAAGAGATCCTCATTTTACCTAATTTTTAGTGATGCTTTTTTGTTGTTAAGCAAAGGCCATGAAGATAGTTCCCAAAACAACTCAGTACTAGATATTCAAGGAAGCCATTATTATTTCCTGTTTTATCCATTCACCTAACTCAATTTTTGATGGCATAACCAAAAAAAAAAAAAGAAAAAGGCACTGTCACAAAGTGAAACAGAAGGGCACATAATTCCATTCTATTAGCAATATTACTAGCACATGAGAAACAGAAAGAAAACAAAATACCAGATTCTCCTAATGCCATCACTTAGATGAGCAATGCAAACAAAACAACTCCTAAAGTCAAAATAACATTAGTTTTTGTAAAATAAATTCTAAAGAGTTATGTTTAACAATTTTATAAGCTAACAAGTACAGGCTCAAGCTCTCACATCCCCCCAAAATCAAAATTATGATATGGCACCAAAACCTCTCCCCCATCAAGGCAATATTTTAATCTAAGGATAAACATCAATAAAATTCCTAAGAACACTTCACATCACTGAATTCTACATCTGTCAAGCTTTAAATTGAAAAGTATAATGAAATTACACCAAAAATAAAATGGCATGAGTGTATCTTCTTCATAAATGACAATTATACATATAGGTAAGTCATTTGACTATAAATAAAATATAATTTTAAAGCAGGAAGAAACTGCATAGCTTACCTTAATCTCTTTATTTGATAATTAGACATTAACAATTTTGCCATTACTAACTGTAAAAATTCTGTAAACATTTTTAAATTAACATTTTTCTCAATGTCTTGAAATATGATTAATAAGCATTCCAATCCATATCAATGAAAATTTTACTACCAAAGATGAAGGAGCATAAGAAGGTTATCTGTTCACTCTATCTGTATCAGATAAGACAAGCCATTTATCTGCTCTCTGCAGAGGAAAATCAAAATATAGGAGCTAGAAATTCTGAATATTGCAGTGCTATCCAAAATGATCTTATACCTTCCTTAATAAATTCTGACATGTTCGAAATAAAAAGCAGTTTAGGCAATCACATGAGAGCTCATGACTTAAGATTCCAAATTTCAGGATTAAAAGTTATCCTGACTTTCTGAAAATCAGATACTTTTTAGTTCCTCCAAGGACAAAAAAAGAGAAGGGAAGATTATGCATGTTATAGGCATTAACTCCATGTTTTACCAACCTTGTAAAAAAGAGATTATATCTGTAGTTTAAAAAAAAAAAAGAGGCTTAAGAGTTTAAGCAATTTGCCTCAATATTAATTATAGTCAAGATATAAATCCAAATTTCTTATTATCAAAATCCACAATCTTTCCACTACATTATAGTTTCCATATTAATTGTGAAATAAAGACTCAATACTTTTGAATCCAAATATACTGTTAAACATATCAATAGGTGATAATAGAAGGCAATGTAAACTGGAAGATTTACTAACAGAAAATCCAATCATTCCTTTGTAAGGAACACATTCACAACCAAGAGAAGTACTGTTTTAGAAAGAAACTTGAACATACAAAGAGGGTCACTTAAAACATTAAGAAACAAAAATCGTAATTATTATGGATCTAGCTAGCATACATACATAGTAATAGTTCCCCAATGCTATACAGAGCTGTTTTTGTCATGTGCATGTAAAAGAGAATGGGCAGAATATGAGCCTCAACACCCCAAAGGAGAGGAGAAATGAACTAGGGAGGAAGGAAACCCCTTGGTAAAGGTTTGATATAAAGCACCCAAACTGGCCCCTTACCAGAGTTTAACTTAACTAAAGGATGTCAGGTAAGGAGGCCGTTACTAATTACAAACTAAGTATTTGGTGTACTTTCTTCACCAAGTGGCATACAGATTCAGCTTCATTAGAAACTGAGAAAGCAAGTACAAAATGGGTTACTACACTTCTCAGAACAAGTAGCAAATACATGGTTCTTTCCTTTTACCTAAACTTCATTTTCTTATAACTGTCACAATCTTACACTTTTATGTCCCTAGAACCTTTAAGTGTTACACATCTTGTATCAGCATCAAGAAACATTAACAAGTACTTCATGGCAGTACTTATTACTTTTGTTTGTTTGGTTTTTTTTGTACCAGGGATCAAACCTGAGACCTTGAGCTTGCAAGCCTCCACCACTGAACTAAATCCCAGGCCCAGTACTTACTACTTTTAATATTGATTTCCAGATGAGAAACTCAAAGCAAACAAACAAAAAAATTACATGACCCATGAGCTGCCCAAGATGACACTAACCACAATTTTAGTAAGGCTAAATAAACTTCCATAACTCCTTGGTTTCACAGGACGTGCACTCGGTTCCCTGTAAACTCAAACGCAATTTATCTCGGGTACCCTTCCAGGGTACTGACATATTCCCTTCAGCGGAACACACCACACAGAGGCAGAGACCCTTAATCTACGGCCCTAAATAAGTACTTATTTTTCATAGCCGCGAACGCCTTTAATCTCAGAGCTCAGCAGGCTAAGACTAGGAGGATCGTCGCGAGTTCGAGGCCAGCCTGGGCTACATAGCACGCCCTTGTCTCAAAAAACAGAACAGAAAAGTACTTGTTTTTCACTTGCTGGAGTGAGGTAAACGCCACGTGCAGAGTGTAACATTAACCTTGGCGACGCAGCAGTGCAGAGCTACATTGCTCCCACCTCTGCACTTCCCACCCCGCGTCCTTCCACTATTACTCTTCCCACCACAAACTTGCGACCCTAGGGGTTATTTGGTCCCTGAAAGGCGTGAGGGGAACTAAGGGAGGATAGAAGCGAGTGAGAAACAAAACCAAAGAACCAAGAAAAAAAGAAACTGGTACTGAAGCACCGGGAAGCGATTCCCGCCTCTCACGGGCGCTGTCCGGCGGCCTCAGGGCTCAGCACGATACAAGGCTGCGACTTCATGGCTTCCCACCGCAATGTGAAGTTCTGATTTCACGTCAATACCAAGGAAGGGCCAAACTACTCACGCCACCACCCAGTAGGCACGCCAGTCTCGTGAAGAACCCAGGCTGGGACTGGGGGAGACACCAGGCCTCTCAACCTGCGCACCACGATGCGGCGGGGCCCGGGCCTACTGTTGCGACCAGATCTCAGGTACCCAGCCCAACCACCTCTTGTAGGCGAGAACCGTCTGCAGGCCTCAGACGACAGTCACAGACCCACTGACTTACGAAGAGTTCTAAGAAATTACCTTCGAACTGGCCTTCTGAGATCCGCCTGGCGTTTTGTCCGCCATCTTGAGCTTCGCCCCTCCTTCGGCGGCAGCAGCAGCACGGGCGAGTCGAACACCGAACAGTGGATCTCAGCGGAGCCCGCCAGAAGCCTGTAGGACTGAAAATCGACTACCAAGATGATGGATGCAGGCAGAGCTGTGTCACATGACTTCCGGTGTCAATAACTTCCGTGACCTTCCTACCCGGTTGGTTCTCGCTCGTTTGGTATTCCTCGAGGCGTTTCCGGTGCCGGAGATTTACAGATCTCTTTTCCTCCCTTTCGGGGCCAGCTGATATTTAACTTTTTTTTCTTAGAGCCAACCCTTGAAGATTCCTGGGCGGGAAGGGAGCCGCTCTTTTAAAGAAACGCTCTGACCTCATAGGGAGGAGCGTGTACTTCAAATCGGAAAGTAGGTCGGGAGCTGCCTGTGACTCTGGAGCTGAATCCGCGGAGACACTGTTCGTGCTACCTCAAGAGCTCACACCCTGGTGGGAAGGACAAATTTGTAATCTGCTCATGTTAAGATGGTGACTGCTGAGATGCAGCCGTTCCTGGCGATGCAAAGAAGAGGAGCGTTTCACCCAGTCACAGTAATCGATTGGTGACTTTTAGAGCCTCTGCAGAGGGGTACACCTAAAGACAATGAACAAGGAAAAGAAATCGTAAATATAGACAGTATTCTAAATCTAGCATGTATATAAATTGTCTTTTTTTTAAATTACATTTTATTTTTAAATTTTGAGACATTCTAGTTGCCCAGGCTGGGCTTAAACGTGGGATCCTCCTGCCTCACCCCAGTAGCTGGAATTGCCTGAGCCATCGCGCCTGGCCTATTTTCGTTTTTTTAATCATACAAACTTTTTTGTACTTAGTACTTTTTAAAGAAAATTCTTAATCTGGATCTGCATTCACAGCAGGAAACCATCCTTGAGGAAGTCATACGGGATCCGAGCCAGGCGAGAAAAATGGAAAGGGCTTTCCAGACAGAAGGAATGGTTGAAGTAGAAGCTACTTGTATGTAGCATGAATCATTATGGCCATCAGGTCAGCGTAAGCAGACCAGTTTTGTCAGCCCGGGTACGGGGAGGGACTTGGTTGGAGATGTGGATAACAGCGAGTTCACACGGGGCTCCAAGGTGACGCACGTGTTCATGATTTCCAATTCTACTCCAAGGATTAAGGGTGACCTTCAGGATTCAGTGGGGGCTATGATGTGGTAAGATTTTTATTTAAAATACTACCCTTGCTGGGCATGGTGGCCTATGCCTATAATCCCAGATCTTAGGTGGCTGTGGCAGGAGCACTGCCAAGAGGTTACCCTGGGCTACATAGTGTGGTCGAGTCCAGCCTGGACTACACAGTGAAACCCTGTCTCAAAAAAATAAAATACTGCCCTGAGGGAGGGGGGAACTTAATGGTCTTCTGTCCCTATTCCTTCAAAATGAGTTTGAGCCCCATTTTGTGTATAAAAATCCTGCTGACAGTATTGTAGTACTTAGACAAAAAATATACACGTCTATATGGGATTTCAAACTCGGGAACAAGGGAGACAAGGAAATACCAAACTAACGCTGTGTACATTAATGCTGCAACTGAGGGAGGTCTAAGACAGAATTATTTTTCAGAGTTAGGGGAGGAGTGAAGAGATGAGGGTGGATTCACAGAGAAGGAAGTGGTTAAGCCAGCTCTGAAGAAGGATTTTGTCTTTTGGATGGTTCTGGGAGCTGGAGTGAGGGACTCACTTTGAACTGGCTCTGACACATAGCCGACCCACGGGAAAGGTCAAGAGCATGGGTGACAGGCACTGAGGAATCAGAAAGCCAGGCCACCTGTCCTGCGTGAAGCCATGGGGTGGAAGAACACTAGAAAGAAGCCAATGAGGAACGATCAGCACGGGACAATGGCCCCATGTGAACTTAGAACAATGCTTTTTATCCTCCAGCCTAATTGAATTTATTTCCAATCACAAGTTCTATTTTTTCAATTATGAGCCTCTTTTTCATCTTTGCCTGGCTTCTAACTGAGGTCTAAATCAATTTTCTCCTCATTCTGCAGGTGCCATTTAATTCAGAAGGCTCACAGACCCTGCTCTCCCACCAGCCTAAGTTGGAGATCCTGCTCCTATTTCCATAAGAACCTGTACTTTTCTGTTCAACGAGTTTATCACACTAGATCTTAATTGTTTTTTTTTTCTAGGATTAGAAAGTGAACTTATCAGCTAAGAGGAAGGGAAGGAGAAACGACCGGGTGTACCTAATGGTGTCCTGGCAGTGTCACAGGCTTTGTTGGGATGAGGTGAAGGAATATCTGCAGCTTTTCAGTCAAATCCCAGAGTCCTGCTTCTTTTCAAAACAATTCTTACTAAATACCCCTAAAGGATGGAAAATAATAGAATGCAGTCTTTCTTTTTGAAACAATAAGCCCCAAATCAAGGCAGACAAGTGTGACCTGACAAGTATGTAGGCCTTAATAAAGGCCTAATTATGCTTTAAAAAGTCAAAACCATGATGATAAGCAGAGCTCTTCGTACAGTAAAGTCATGAAATCTTGACCTGATTATTTTCAAATTAAGGGTGGTGACATCATAAAAAGAGCCCAAAAGAAATTTCACTGAATTGGGAATTTAGTTAGATTTGCATTTTTATTACCAAAGGACTACACATGAGTAGTAATAATCAATTTCTAGCAAGTTAGCATTGCCTTTTTACAATCACAAGAAAACCACACCATTTTTCTCTTCCTGATGCATAGATTCTGCCATTTGTTTTCAAGCGTTCTCCCCTGTAGCACCGGTTACATTCATGGAAGTGTTTTGTTTGGGTCAGACAGATTTTGTCTTTCAAATTTGAACTGGCTTTTAAAACTGGGAGGCTTTGAATGAAGTTTACCTTTTTGTTTTTGTTTTTATTTTTCCCCAATGATGGAGACGGAACCCAGGCCCAAGACTTTCACATTGAGCTACAATTTCCAACCCTTTTTTTTGGAGACAGTCTCTAAATTGCCCAGGCTGAGCTCAAATTTGAAATCCTCCTGTACCAGGCTTCCAGAACGTAGGGGTTATAGAGATGAGAAACTGGAAACAGTTTTCTTGAAAACTGAGAAAGTCAGGCAGCATTGGATGACACTTGAGTTAAAGTGAACTGCAGCAACCCGTAAGCAGCACCACAGTTGGGCTGGCCCTCACCTGATAGCAGACACTTCCCTGTACTGGATTTCCTCTTAGACTTTTTTTACTTTCTGCTTCTGCCATGAAGCATAGCTCTAACCCAGGGGTGATGATAGGAAAAATTGACAGCCAGTCCTCCAGGCACCAGGAACCAGCTTATCAACTAGGGAACAGAAGGCTCAGTGTCTAAGACCCACAGTAATTTTAGAGGTTCCCTAAAATGTTTACGTTTCTTTTAAAATGGGATGGTGGTGTGGAGAGAGCATTTAACAATACAAATATCGATGGAGACTTTGCACACTGAGAACCAGAGACCTTAAAAATGACTATGGAAAGCAGAACCTGTGTTGTATAAAGGACTGCTCTCAGCGGACCCCGCTTTCATTCTAGAGAATTTTTAAGCAGCTTCTCTCTACTCTATAGGCTTCCAGACATAGGATGGTGAATGCACAGTCCCATCCATCTGTTCATTTGGCATTTACTGAGTTTCTAGCATGTAAAAGTATGAAGAAGATGAAGAGATGACTAAGATCAGACAAAGACTCTTCCAAGAAGAGTAGTAGTACTAATAGTCGGTAATAGTCCAGGAACAGCACCCAAGGAAGGTGTGGTTTTCCCATTCTTCCTATGAATTTAATTCCTGCCTCATATCCACCCCAAAGTGCCTGTCTTGCAAGTTAAGATTTCAGTAGCATCAGCATCCCTTTATCTCTACCACTACTAAAAAAAATCTTACTTATTGATTATCTAGATAGAATTCCTTTGACAATAGTAGGTAGCAGTGACTTTATTTTTCCTTCAGTACTAGGGATCGAACCCAGGGTGCTCTGCCATTGAGCTACATCCCCAGCCCTTTTCATTTATTTTGATACAGGGCCCAGAACAGGCTAAATTTTTGGATTTTCCTGCCTCATCCTCCCAAGTGGCTGGGATTGCAGGTGTTTGCCACTGTGGTCAGATAACGGGTACTTTTTAAAAACCCAAAATGCCTGGGAAGTAAAAGATATGTAAAAATGATGACAAAAAGAATATAACTCAAGAATGGGCTGGTGACATAGTTTAAGACAAAATAAGCCACTATTTCAACTATGTCCTGATGAGAATAGCTTTGCAGTTACTGTATCAAGACTAATAAAACTTGGGATGGTCCAAATGGAATACTGAGGGAATTGTGTGTGTGTGTGTGTGTGTGTGTGTGTGTGTGTGCGAGAGAGAGAGAGACAGACAGACAGACAGACAGAGGAACACAGACAAAAGAGCACTCGGTGCTTATGGCAGCTCATGTGAGCCAATAGGTAGCAGCATGTGGGGAACCCTCGTTTGCCATGGCCTGGCTGTCCAGAGTTGGGCATGGCTTGGACCACCACACATAAACATTAACCTCATTTAACCTATGAGCTCCAGCCCCATAAAACTGAAACTCATAAAGTTTGAAAATATAAAAGGCATGGTGGAAGAGCCAGGTGTGGTGGCACTCACCTGTAGTTCAGGCACTTGGGAGTTTGAGGCAGGAGGATTGCCTTGAGTTCGAGGCCAGCCGGGGCTACACAGTGAGTTCAAAGACAGCCTGAATGACAGAGTGAGACCCTGTCTCAGAAAGGCGGGGGGCTTGGTGGGGAATGAAGTTATAGAGAGAAAAATGAAAATGAGACAGTTTCCCTTATCCATTATGCTTGGCTATTAGCAACAAGTCTAACTGCTGTGGTATTAAACATGGAAGGCTTTATTTTGATGTTGCTAACACAGTAAGTCTATTAAAGAACATGGCCTACCTTTCTTTTGAGTCACATATACTTTGCATATTTGCTGTTAATTCTTGGGCATTTTATCTTTTCTGTTAGTGCTATAAATAGAATATGTTTTTCCCTCATTGTACATGTCCCAAGTATTTGTTATTGTTATACATCAATGTTGCATAATGTTTATCAAATGCTTTTATT